GGGGGGGGACACACTGCACCCGGCTGGACTTTATCACCCAGAAAATGACGTTTTCTTTCGAAAGAGTCACTCAAAACACAGGAGGAAGGAGGGGGGGGACACAGGGTGAGGGGCAGGAGCACGATGCCAGGCATCTGGGCAGGTGCCACGTGTGGCTCTGATGCCCTCAGGAGCTTATTTAAGCCAAGAAAATCGTCCCGCTGACCCAAACCCCTGGATTCTGGGGCTCTGGGAGGTGTGAACCCCCCTGCCCCCCGCCACAGGGCTGCCCCCCGAGAGCGGGGCTCCCTTCCCCACGAAGGGACACCCTCCTGCCTGTCACCACCTCACCCACACGAGCCCATGACCCAGGGTGTCTCCCAGGTTCTGGGGGGCTTCTGGCCACCCAGGGAACCCAGGGTCTGGGGGTCTTCTGGCCACCCAGGGGACACCCCAGTGGGTCATGGGGAAGGACCCCCACTCGCCAGGAGCCTCCCCAGAGGGTGTCTGTTGCCATGAGACCACGATTCCCCCGGGTGCCAGCGGAACCACACAGCTACAGCTGGGCCAAATTTACCAAATCCAGGGTTTTTGAGCATATTCTGGGAAGGCAGAACACCCCAGGAGCCTTCCCGTAGCGCTGCCCCAGGCTCTCACCCCGGAGACGTGCACACCGAGCTCTGATGGAAGCAGGAGGGGAAACACCAGTCCTCCCATTACAGACAGGGGCACGTACTGGTCACGGCTCTGGTGTTTTTTCACCGGAGCTTTGCAGACAACCTCCCCCTGAAAAACACTGCTTTTGTGCTTCCCTGGAAGCGACGCCCCTGACGTCCCCAGCCCCGTCCCCTGCCGCCGGCGCCTCGACCGCATTCGCCACCCAAAACCTATTAATTGGGTTCATTTGGGTTCCTCGTTTCCAAATGGAAAAGCCGAGCCTTCCTCTCACGTGCTCGCCGTGCGACGCCCCCGGCAGGAGCAGGGTCAGCCCCTCGCTGCCAACCACACGCCTATTATTTTTATTATTTTTTTATTTTTTTAAGCGAGAAAGGTTTGCTCGAAAACGGGAGGAATATTTATTTTAGCCACCGGCTGAAAGGGGAAACCACAGAGCATCTGAAATGCAAACTCCGGACCGGCGCTCCCGCTCCTCTGCGTGTCAGGGAGGGCTGAGGCAAGATCAATTTAAACAATTCCCTCCGAACAGCAGCTTTGACATTTGGCTTCTTCTGTTGATTTATCGCTCTGTCCATCTGCCTTTTCAGGGCAGGAATTGTTTCTGCTCGGAGCACAGCGGGGGCCTGATCCAGGTCAGGCACTCCCAGCCCGACCGCGCAAACACAACCGCGGGTGTCAAAAGCTGCGCTAATGAGACTTCACCCCCTTTTCCCAAACGTCCCCGGAGCACCACAGCCCATCTCTGCCCCACCGAGGGGCAGGGGAAGGGGGAGATCCCCCCCCCTCATCCCAACTCCCTCCTGCCCGGAACCCCCCCTCCCCAGAGCTCGGGGAGAAACGGGTCTGAAAACGGCCGTAAAAGGATTAATTTGAGCGCAGGAAGGGCCCTGTGGCCGCAGAGCTGGGGTTGTGCCACACCAACACCTCCTCCCTGCACACACAGACGCACGCCCGGCTCCCGTGGGGCCAACACCTGCTTTGATATGAGGGTTTTTTGGGGGCTTTTTTCCGCCAGGCTGCAGGCGCGGGCGCACGCACCTCGGCACAGATTGTAGCCGGCGTCTCCTCCGTAATTTAATTTACTCAGCAGAGCTCAGCTGGAGTCCTTTACCCAATTTTACAGTTGGGCTGGCTGAGGAACAGAGGTCAAGTGGCTTTGCCCGTGACGAGAGGCTGGGAGCCGACCCCACGGCTCAAACCAAGACCCTTCCTTCTGCTGGATCCTGCCCTTCCCGACGGCTCCGTCCCGGGATCCCGGGGCGCGGAGAGCGCGGCTGCTGGGTGCTAAGAAAGGACAATGTAAAAAATGCAGAAGGAAGGAAAAGGGGGAGCAGATAAACCTGCCGAAGATGAATTAATGCTGAATTAATGTCAGTGATGACCCAGCCCCTTGAAGGGACGCTCTCGGTGGTGCCTGCGAGACGGTGTCTGTGGGCACAACCTGTTTGCCAAGGGCTCGGGGGCTGGTTTTCCGTGGGGCTGGAAGCACGGCCGTGAGGATACGAGGGTGATCCCCACAAGCCAGAGACCCCAGACCCCGGCTCTCACCCTCTGCAGCCCATCCCACCAAAGGGGAAGGCACCCACAAAGGCTTGGGGGGGTTTTCCCCACTGTGCCACTCTCTCTGTCAGCAGACAGCAAAATATTCAAGGAATTAAGGACCACCAGCATTCCCAGGTTGCCCCATCATCTCAGAGGAGTAAATCCTCCCAAAATAGGAAGGCAAAGCTGCTGCTGCCCCGTCCACCACTCCACTGGGCCACATTTCAGAGATTGAGGTGTCTGCCCGGCGCAACCCCAGCATCGGAGTCTCCCTCACCCTCGCCCACCCCCAGAGCAGAGTCTGACACAAACCCCTCGATTGGCGAGAGAAGGTGAAGGGCAGGAGCTCCAGGAAACCCCCCTGGTTAAAAGAGCAACCCAAGGGCTGCCCTGATGGGCGCAGGTTTAACCAGTTCCCAGTTTCCTGCCGAAACATCCTATTTGAGTTGAACAAACCTGCTTTTAAACCCGGTTTTCCTTTGGTAAAAAGCCAGCTGGAGAGGCAGCTCAGCGTGAGGGCTTAACTACGGGATCCTGCCCCGCGCCGCAGGATTTAAAAATACACTCAGTTATTGCCTGGGTCATGCAGGGAGTTGGGAAAACAAGGAAAAACCAACAAGAAAAATGTGCAGGTTACAATTTACAATTTACACCTCAGGTCACAGAATCACAGAATCTTCTAGGTTGGAAGGGACCTCAAAGATCATCTTGTCCAACCGTCAACCTGACTGACAAAAATAGACACCCCCCCAACAAACAAGGAGCATCATCACTAAACCAGACCTCCCAGCACCACATCAACCCGGCTTTTGAACACCTCCAGGGATGGGGCCTCAACCTCCTCCCTGGGCAGCCCATTCCAAGGGCTGAGAACCCTTTCAGGGAAAAAATTTTTCCCAATATCCAGCCTGAACCTCCCCTGGCGCAACTTGAGGCCATTTCCTCTCGTCCTGTCGCCTGTGACTTGAGAAAAGAGACCGACCCCCATCTCTCTACACCCTCCTTTCAGGGAGTTGGAGAGAGCAAGAAGGTCTCCCCTCAGCCTCCTCTTCTCCAGGCTGAACACCCCCAGCTCCCTCAGCCTCTCCTCATCAGACTTATTCTCCAGACCCCTCACCAGCTTTGTCGCCCTTCTCTGGACCCGCTCCAGCACCTCAATGTCTTTTTTATGGTAGGGGGCCCAAAACTGGACACAGTACTCAAGGTGAGGCCTCACCAGGCCTCACCCTCAACAGGCCTCACCCTCACCAGGGCCAGCAGCAATTGCGTCACTTTGGGGAAAAGGAAAGTCTCACCAGGCCTCACCCTCACCAGGGTCACCGGCAATTGCGTCACTTTGGGGAAAAGGAAAGTGAATCTCTCTGCGGGGAGTCACCACGTAGGGTGACTGGGCCGGTGTTTGCCCAAGGAGGTTCCCGGTGGCCCCGTTCCAAGCCGGGACTCGCCTCCCCGCTGCCGGAACCGGGCGTCCTGCAGCTTTATCGCCGCGGCGCTGCCAGGCCGGACTTGGGCCTTTACCTTTTCCCAAGGTGACACAAGTGGTTGATGGTTGATAACGTCAGTCAGAGGGTGAGGAGTCACCTATCCGGAACCAAGAGGCGTGAGCCAAAGGAATGACATTTTTCCATTGCAGGGAGAGATTTGTACAGATGTTGTAACTGGAGAGAGAGGAAGACGACAAAAAAAACCTGAACAACAGGTCACCCCGCTGTGATAATATTGACTCGGTCTCCGTATTGACTCTGTAGACAAAGCCACTAACAAAGTAAGAAATAACATTCGTAAAACCCAACCTGGGTTAGGGGTAGGAATCCCACAGCTGTCGAGGAAGTAAATCACAGAATCACAGAATCTTCTAGGTTGGAAGGGACCTTCAAGATCATCTTGTCCAACCGTCAACCCAACTGACAAAAATAGACACCCCCACAACAAACAAGGAGCATCATCACTAAACCAGACCTCCCAGCACCACATCAACCCGGCTTTTGAACACCTCCAGGGATGGGGCCTCAACCCCCTCCCTGGGCAGCCCATTCCAAGGGCTGAGAACCCTTTCAGGGAAAAAATTTTTCCTAATAAAAAGCCCTGCTGTGGCTTTCCCAAAGGCTGGAAGGAGCTGGGAGCTCCGTGGCCTCAGCTCAGGGAGCACAGCTCAGCCCAGGGACGCCCGTACCCCCATCCCTGCCGCGGCCCCACGTCCTCAGAGAGGTTGAATAAGTCATCCATAAACACTTTTGTCAGTACTTTTAACACGCTGCGTCCGAGCACAGGACAGAGAGAGGGCAGTTCCTGCTGGCGAAGTTCAAGACGAGGGAAAAAGTCCACTGAAAAAGCCAATTTGCTAAAAGGTTGAGAGAGCAGAGCTCTCTGCACCCTCAGCTGCTCCTGCCTCCGAGGCCCCGGCCCGTCCGCAGCCACAGACAGCTCCTGACACGGATCTGCAGGGCTGCCAGACACCTACCCTCGTCCTTCCCCGCCGCAGCGGCATCTTCCTTACTTGTCAGACGTTCCTCACTTCAGACAAGAACTCTCTGTGCGGTTCCCTCCAAATATTTCTTTACCAAAAGCCACACTATTTGTATAACCGAGAACAATTTCTCAGGAATAAGAGTCAACCGGCCGGGACAGCGAGTGTGTCTGACGTTGGGCCCTTGGGAATACCACCTTAAAGCATTTATCCAAACCAATAAAGATGTTAATTAAAAAAAAAACAACCAAAAAACCACCCGGTTACGCTCAGAGGGAACATCACGCACAGTGTTAAAAGCTTGGGCTTAAAACAGGGGGAGCGAGGCCGCGCAGGATGATCTTTCATGTGTACTCGTACCTTCAAAAGGGCCCCTCGACCCTAATTTGAAGATTTCAAATATGAGTGTTTGTTTCTAAAGGACACCTCGTGCTGTGCCCCGAGCTCCCCAGCACCAGCCCCGCACCGAGAGCGCGTTCCCGGCCAGTTCCTCCCATCACCTGCCCCTGAAATGACTTTATGATGGTCTCAGGCAGCCACGGAGCTGCGGTTTGTCAAAGCCCCCCAACCAAAGGCAGGTAGGAAGACCCCAGCGCAGGCACGGGACCCCAAAAAGGCTTCCAGAAGCTACAGAACATGGGACTTTCGACTCCGGGTTGTTCCCAGGCGGCGCAGCCAACGATGAAGCCTTAACCCCACGGGATTGATGAAGTCTCACTCCAAACGTAGGGTTTTAACGCCTGGATCCGTTCCCTCCGTTCAACTCACCTACTCTGCAGCTCAGCAAAGACCTGCTTCATCTTCTTAATGGATGCATCCATTTCCTCCTTCACCACCACCCGGTACCGAGCCAGCGAGACGGTGCAGCGCTGGAGATCCTTCACCGATTTCTCGATATTTGAACCTACCGGGAGACAGAAACGAGCTCGAGCAGCCCCGTCAATCACCCCGCTAAATCCTCCCGGCAGGGACCAATCTAACCACCCCTTCCCCTCTGGTTTTAAAAAAAAAAACAAAAAAACAAACCAAACACAACTATTTCACCGCTTGGTTTTAAATTTTTCTTTCCTTTCCCCGTTAGGAAGGCAACGGGTTCAGCAGGGAGAGCTGGAGAGGGTTTTATTACTGGGGGAAATCCACTGGCAGGGATGTCCCTCCACATTTTCCATTCCAGGAGAGAAATCAAACGTGTCTCCGAGGTGCTTTTGTGGAGTGGAGAGGAGTGAGAGGCAGCTCCAAGGACCAACCCGCCGTATCGCTAACGGATACCCAAGGACTGCGTGCCCGGGGAAGGGAATTATCTCAGAAATGAAAATTAAGGCCGTTTTCACAAATCGGGAGCCGAAAGGAGGGGTTAGTCCCCGTGCTTCTGTCACCAGAGGGGGGACATCGTCTCGTCCCCACTCTCCGGAACGTGGCTGTCCCCTGCCAAGCCCAATTAACAACCGCTCATTACAGCTTTCCTGTGCAACGAGGGGGCGAAGGAGCTGCCCCCCCCCACTTCCCTAAGCCACCCGTGATCACAGTGGGGGGCTCTGACGTCCCTCCCGTCCCCACTTGTTACCCCCACGGGACCTCAGCTGTGGAGAAAACACACAAAAGAAGGGAAAAAAATAAAAAAAAATGGATGTTGTGGAAGGAGGCTGTCACTTCTTGTAAGAGGGGCCGGGCCGGACGTCTGGCCTTTCGACAAATTCTCGCCAAAAGATGAGAAACAACCCAAAGGCTGTGGCAGGGAGGGGGCAGGAGAATGGGGGTAAGCGTATGCGGCGCGAGGAGAGGGAGCAGGGAGCGAGGCACCGGCCAAAGAATAAGCAGCCAACGTTGGCTCAAATTAAAATCAAAGTCCAGGGCGCCTCTGTCACCAGTGCCGGGGAAAAAAAAGGGATTTTTTTGTTTGTTTGTTTTTTTTTTTTTTCCTCACTTAAAAAGAGGTGAGAATTTGGCTGGCTGTGAGGGAATCACAGAATCACAGAATCACAAAATCACAGAATCTTAGTGGTTGGAAGGGACCTCTGAGATCATCGAGTCCAACCACAAAAAAAAAAAAAAAAAAAAAAAACAAAAAAAAAAAAAAACAACCCCTCTTTGTGTTCTCTCCTGTTGGAATGAGATGGTAATAAACAAATATTAATTTTTTTGGTATTTCTCTGCAATAAGTTTCTGCAGATTGACTTGCTTATTCAGAGGAAAGGTTATCACATGAGACACAAGCTTTGCTCTCCTGTTCTAATATGACTAGGCATGGTCTGAATCACCAAGAATGTATTTTTACCACTGAAAATCTTTAGCAACTGTCAAAGCTGGTTTT